TGGGTATCTTCAGATGACCAACTGGTACCAAAATAAAACGGGGTTCTACAATAGATAGTCAACAGGAAATCTTGACTCACTTTGTAAATATAATACTGTAAAAATGAAATGATTTTTAATTTCACTTTAAAAAATACATTGAATTTTAAAATAATAAAACCAACCTTCTGTATTTACTTCTAGGAAGCTCTCGTAGACTGCTACAAACCAACAGAGGTAAACAGATCACTTTCTTACATGCCATGTTTGAATCAGCTTTTATTGGATCAATTTATCTATTTTTAAATCTAAACCATAAGTGGGTTTGATTATGTGTACACTAATTAGCAGTTATTATCCATGAATGCCTGTATTTGAATGGTACTAACTTCGTTGATTCTAAGCCTAAACATACCCCAGTTCAAAAAGACAAAATGAACAGAATGAGTGCGTTCTTTGATTTTAGATAAAAGGCAAACTTTAAGGGTGAGTGTGAGAGGATTTGGAATAATTTTAGTAAGATTTAGGTTTAGTCCTGGTTTATATATCTTGTTGGTTTGTAGATACCTATTTCTTTTTTGGGGGGAGAGGTTTACGCTATAGGGCGCATGCGCTCACCAGAGAGACAGAAAGCGAGAAATCACCCCCCAGGGGGATGGTCACGCCGCAATCCCTTCTCCTCCATTCTCCTCTCGGGATCTTGTGCACACACACACATAGTGCCCAGTGTGAGTTTGAAGCCACCGGGTCCGGGACGCGAACTGTGGTCGACTACGTGGGAATCCAGCGACATAGCCATTACGCTAACTGCTGGTCCCCTGTAGATACCTATTTCTAAAGCGCTTAAAGCCAATACTGTTTTTTAAAAACATTATATTTATTGGAAGGAAAAATGGTTTGCTTGTTTGGATATTTATTGCACATATCAATAGTAGCATTAATACACAATGGCTCTTAGTCTGATTAGACTGAAACACTTCATGTAAACTACAATGACTGAAACACAGTGTAGGCATCAACATTTGATAAATTGTGAAAATATCAGTGAAGTTCTTTCCAAGATCCATCAGATGTATTTAGAGTCTATTTGTAACATACAAATGATGGTGGTAGGACTTCTGATTTTTGAAAGAGAGAAGAAAGCGTGCTTGTACAACAGTATGTGGATTTCATTTCACTGAGTTGTTTCACAATAATTTGGTTTGTGGCTAGTTACTTATTTGAGTTTTATTTTTTCATCCTCCAGTTTTTCCTTACAGTGATTACATCTTATTTTCATAGGGCTTTAAAATTTTAATTTAAGCTATTAATATCATATGTATGTATATATATTTTTGAATCAGTGCAATCCATAGTCATATTTGGAAAACTAAAAAAAATACTATAAGGCTTATAAGGGGAAAGTTTCCTTTAGGCGCCTTTCCTAGAGCTATATATTTTATATTTGTATAATATATGTATATTTTATATGACAATGCTTTTGATGTTTCTCTGCTACTTACTCTTTCATTCTTAAATGTGCATTTACTACTTTATTTTCATTTATTGAATTAAGAGGCAAGATGCGAGCTCTCTCTCCACATGATTTATTTCCCTCCATCTTCTCAATTAAGTTATTTAACAGTATTTTGTCAAGTCACGAGTCAAGGTTAACATTATGATTTAAACAAACATTTTCACTGCTAAGCCAACAGTAAAATATGACCATGTCTCCTTTGTTGCATAGCCCTCTGTTTTTCCAGAGTTGATAATCACTCTTTTTGTCTCTTTTTCATTGCTATAACTGCATACCTGAAACTGGGTAATTTATAAAGAAGTTTATTTGGCACAGAATTCTGGAAGCTGGGAAGTCCAAGGGCATGGTGAAGGCTTTCATACTGTTTCAAAACATGGCACAAAAGCAGAAGGGCCATTGCGTGTGAAAGAATCTTGAAAGAGTGATCCCCCCTCACTTTTATAGCAACTCTCCCTCTCAAGAACCAACTTATGTCTATGAGAACAATCAATAGTAAACAGCCTTGATGACAGCATTATTCCATTATTCCCACTCAACACAGTTACATTGTAGATTAATTCTCCAACATGTAAATTTTGGAAGACAAAGTCAAGTCATAGTAATCATCTTGTCTTACTTATTTATTAATTTTGTGGTGTGTATATGTGCACACACATACACATACACGTGTGCTTTTGTACTGATTTAGAAAGTGTTTAGCTGTGTTGCGATCCTCTTGCTTACCCTCCCAAATGGCTGGGAACACAGACATGCCACTGTACCTAGCTTTTACAGTGGTCTGGGTTCTTGTGTGGTCTCAGCCAAAATGAACCCAGGCTTCCTGTGTGGTCTCAGCCTACCGAGCAATTGTGTCCAGCACATGTTACCATAGCTGAGCCTTTTATTTTGTCTAGTACCTGTTGCTATGTTTTTGTTGAACTCTCTAGCGTCTTTATTGAACAACATGATATATTTTCTGTGTGCTAAAATATACCATTACCATCCCCTGGCCCCCAATCTTTCCTCCTGGAGTGGTGCACCAATAACCAGAGAAGGTTTTCTCTGCATCTGCTGAGTAGCTACTGTCCTGAAATTTCTGTTCATTGCTTTTCTGTGTTAGATGCTTTATTTTTTTATTGTAGTTATCTTCATTTTTTTAAAAAAATAATGTTACTATTATTATTTTAAGTTTACTATAGAGCATATGTGTTTACCAGAGAGAGACAGAGAGAAAGAAAAGTAAGAAAGCAAGCCTCCAGGTCTTGGACTTGAACCATAGTTGGTCATTTGGGTGTCCAGCACCTTAACCACCATGCTACCTGCTGGCCCCAGTCCTCCTCATTTTTGTTGGACTGCATTGCTTTTGTTGGAGTAGTTTTTTGGGAAAGGGTGAATCCTTGTGTGTGTGACAGTGAATCTTGATCAATGGTTTATATGCACAAAGTTCTAGTATAAAAGCCATTATTAAGACACAATTTTTTAAAAATTTCTTTCTTTCATGAGACATACATACACACACACACACACACACACACCCTTGAGAGGGCCTTGCCATGCTGTGATCCTCCTCATGGCTTCCCAACCAGACAGGATCACAGCATGTGTATGATGCATCCCCGGGGTGTTTAGGTCAACCCAGGATGTGAACCTGGGCCTCCCACGTGGCTCCTGTATTGTGCAGTGGTGCCTTCATTACCACGGATAAGCCCTTAAGGTACAACTTTGAAGGTGTTCTGTTGCTGTGTTACTTGTAGTGTTAAGAAATCTGACGTCATTCCATTATCAGACTTCTGTGTGTGACCTAGTTTTTCCCCTCAGTTAACTTTTAGGATCATTTCCGTATTTTGAAATTTTGCAGTGCTAGCCTCTGATGTGGGCCTTTTCCTATTCATGTACCAGTTTCTCACAAACTGTTTTAGTCTGAAGGTGTTTTTTCAGTCCTTTAGAAAGGGTCTTTTATTATTCTTTACTATTTTTATTCATTTCTTCTTCAGGACTCTATTTCTGGCTCTCCTCTTACTATTATGAGTATTTCATCTTTTGGATGGAGCCTCTCTGTTCTTACCTCATTTGTTTCCCATCTCCAAGATCTTTTGTTCTTTCTTACAGAACATTTCCTTGCCTTTATCTTCTAGTATTTTTACTAACATTTTTTTTTAAAAGAGAGATTTTTGCTATAGGGTGTGTGCACTTGCCAGAAATATATAGAGACAGGGAGACAGAAAACGAGAAATCACCCCCCAGGGGATGGCCATCCTGTATTCTCTTCTCTTCCATTCTCCCCTTGGGATCTTTGACATGCACACAGAAGCACCCAGCATGAGTGTAATTTGCTGGGTCTGGGATTTGAACTGCGGTTGACTACATGGGAGTCCAGCAAGGTAACCATTACGCCATCTGTTGGTCCCTTTACTGACATTATTTTTAAATTTCAGCTATCTTATTTCTAATATCCAAGAACCTCTTCTTGATCTTTGTTCACTATTTCATTTTATGTTTCTTCTTGTTCATGCATACATTTGATTCTCTTTTCTCTTTCACAACATTACTCAAATGTTTTATTCTATTTGTTTTCATTTTAAAGGTTATTCTACTGTCTGCATTGTGTCTGTTTTCTTTGAATCCTGCCTTTTTTCTATGGTCTGTTTTTGCTGACTGTCAGCAGTGTACCCATGTTGACTGTGAGGAGATGGTAAGCAGATTGGTGCTTGTATGTTATCAGTATAGCTTGTCCTTTGGTTGGTCTCACTGTGGAGTGATAAGGATGCAAGCCAAACTTTTTTTTTCCATGATCTGTATTATTAGGTGGGGTGGCAAGTCTCCTCAAAATATCAATATTTGGCTCTCTTTTTTTGTGGAAAGATTCAGGTTTTTTAGAGTTTGATCCTTTAGTCCCCTGCCTGAGGGTTGACAGTCTGACTTTAGGTTTTAGAAGCAGAGAAGAGAACAAGGGAGGAGATCTCACCAGTTAGTCTTTGCAGAATAGAGTTAATTTGTTTGTGAGTAGTTGGGAGTTAGTATAAGAATTAAAACAATTAGATATTTGGTGAGTGATTTTTGAATCATGCCAGGTTAGATGAGAATAGGGTGGTAGTCAAGTGAGGGATTATGCAGATGAATAGGCATGGGATGTGGGGGCAGGAGGGGCTACTGATGTGGCTCAACCAGATTGTAGGTGCTAGCATGTATTTACTCATTTTATCATTCCCAACCTCCCTTATTTCAGTTCTTCTGCTAGATGGGGAAGTTCGAGAAGTTCACGCTTTGGTTACTTAGGCAGGAAAGTTTGCACATGAAAATTTCTCTTTTGATTGGCTCTGCAGGCAGCTGAAAAACAGGAGGAGAACTTCTCTCATCAGCAGAGACCTGTTCTCTTCCCAGTTATGCAATGTCTAGGTAACAAAATATTTATACTTGTTAACAGCCATGCAGTTGAATGAAAAAGACAACTTGCTCCCTAGAACTAAAGTATTCCTTATCCAATTTCTACACAGAGCTGGAGTTTTCAAGGGAACATTTCTGTGTTTTTGTTGTTGCTGTTGTTTTTTGAGAGATTTTTGCTATAGCACGTGTATACTCGCCAGAGCGATGGAGAGACAGAGAGACAGAAAGTGAGAAATCACCTCCTAGGGGCATGGCTACACCACAGTCCCTTCTCCTTCATTCTCCTCTCAGGATTTTGAGCATGCTTGCACATGCGCCTGGTATGAGTTTTAAGTCACCAGGTCTGGGTGTCAAACTG